AATAAAGTTGTCTGAGCTGCACTGAAGTTCCCAGCTCAGCTTTAGACTGAAACCACTGACATATGGCAGCCTCACAAAACAACCCAAAACCTGTTGAGTTTAATATTTTATGCTCACTATGGAAAGCTGAAGCTTCATCAAGATGAAGATGGCACAATAAATGGACAGACTGAAGAAAGTGCTTTATAACTGCAGAGTGCCCAGTGACCCACAAGAGGCTTCTGCAGCATCCCAGTGCTGTATCCCTGGACACGGAATGGGAGGGAAAATGCAAATTTCACAAGTTGCCAGTGGAGATTTGTGCTCAGCTGGTTAAATGCCTGAGCTTTCCTCACCAGAAAAGTGCTGCTCACTGTCACAGTGTGCTTTGCTGTGCAGCCAAGCCCAGCAAAGCAATTACTGCTGACCTGGAGGTGAAGGGCATGCAGGCACTGCTGGGATGCTTCAGGCATTAATGGAACTCACACTCCCCATTTGGGAATCCAGCAGCTAAATGTGCTCCATCCCATGCTGTGTCACACGTGTGATCATCCTTTCTCAGCTCTCTGCAGTCTCTGCTGCCAGAAGAACTCCACGATGACGGCGCCTGATGCAGGCTGGAAGAGATGGATGTTTATTATTGTTAAACATCCCTGAATAAATATCTAGAGAGTATCATAACATGATCAGAGGCTGCCTCTGATCTGATAGTAAGAGGTACTGTACAGAGTAAGTTGTGCAGCCAGAAGGTTCCAGCTATTAAAACCTGAACTCCCAAAGCAGAGCACTTCCAGGAACTTGCTTGGGTGTCAAGCAAGGAGGTAAAAAACTTGAATTAATGAATGATTTGTGATAGAAGAATCTGATCTGGCTGATGGTGACAGGGTGCAGGAGGTCTGGTGTGATGCACAAGGGATTGATTAGGAGGAGCTGTCACTTGGGATGATGGATTTCTGGCACGTGGGGTGCACGAGCAGTTTTTCCTGCAAACACAGAGTTGTGCCTGTAATCAGGCTGAGACACACACATGTGCACACACACAGAGAGCTTCATCCACACAGTGCTAAATAGAAAACTGCTCATACCCTAGCCCTGGCCACAAAGCTGGGCAGCCAGATCTGGCTTTCATCCACACGAATTGCCACTAATCCTCTACAGCAGCATTGTGCTGGTGAGCCATGGGCAAAGCATGAATTCACTTACATGGACCAGCCTGTTCCAGTGCTTCAGCTGATTTCTCTGGCCCTCTGATTTAGCATCATAGAAGTGCCCTCAGGATTCCTTTCAAACCCATTCTCTATGGTCTGGTTAAATGTGGAAACAATAAAATAAATAAAAATAATAAAATATAATAATTTTTTAAAACCCAAAAAAACCAACATAGAACGAAACAACCTCCCCAAAATCAGCTTTCAGTGCTACCCCCCCAAAAAAACTATTTATTATTCATATTGGTCAAAGTTTTGAGTGAACAAGGGATGAAGGCTGCCTTCTCTGAGGGGAAAACACCCCAACAAACAGTGTTTGAATAGGAAAACGTCTATTACAGGTTGTGCAGAGCCGTGGAAAATGTGAATCCAGGAGCAGCTTTATGAGAGGTGACTCAGACATTGGTCATGCCCAGAAGAGCAGTCAAAACAGTGAGGAAGAGAGTGACAGGAAAGCACCTGCATTGCAGAGCTGATGTGACTCAGAGGAGAGTTTCATCCCCAGCCTTGCAGATTTTTGTCCTGTCGTGCAAGTCCCGTCCCCAGGAGCATCCCAAATCCATCCAGTCTGTCTTTCCCTACCAGCTGTAAGCCTGGGAGTTTGGGGCTCACACTCAGGAACTTTTCCCTTCCTTCCCAGAGATTAAATTTTCGGGGAAGAGAGGGTCCCCTTCAATGCAGTTTTTCATTCAGGATGAGAAACTGTTTTGGCCACAAAACTATTTGAAAATTCAGGTGGGTTTCACCAAACTCTCCCTACTAGCATGGTTAGGATTGTGTTGATTAAAGTTGACTCTGCCCTGAAAACGGTGGATAATCAAATAAGATCAAAATTGAATGGAAAAAGAGGGTTACAATTTTCTAAGAATCCAAGTGTTGTCTTTTCTCCAGTTCCTCTGTTTTTCAGTCTTCAAAAAGCTAGAAATGTGCCAGTGAAAGGAAAAGGCCTGACTCCAGTTCAAAGACGATTCCCACTGGTCTTCTTGTCTCACCAGGGTGACTTCCAGAGAGGACTGGAGTTAGATTACTACCAAGGATTGCAGAAATGTTGCTTGGATGTTTTTCCTGCAAGCACAAATATTGGGATCAGAAAGAATTGTATGAAAAACCAAAGCATCAGAGCTGGTATTGCTCCATCTGGCTTGCACAGCTCCATTTGGAATTAAAAAAGCCCATTTATTTTGTATTAGGCAAACAAGAAACTGGTACAAAGCAACATGGGGGACCTACCACTTCTTATATGTGCACGGCTGGGTTCAAGGCAGCAGTGGACAGGCACAGGCTCAGAGGGCACCTAATTCCCAAGCACATCAGCTGCTGCTCAACTCTTCTCCTTCTGCTTTGTACCACTTCTCAATTTCTTTCCT